GGACGACGTCGCAGAGCTCGCGGTGCTTGCGCAGCGCAGCCAGCTCCTTGAGCGTGGAGCGCGGGTGCTTCTCGGAGGTGAAAGGCAGCCGGGCCGGCGACGGCGGCCGCTCGGCCTCAGTTAGCTCCGTCAGGTTCATGACGCTGCGGCTCATCGGACCATTGCCGCCGACCGGGGCCGCCGCTGTCGGCACGAGCGCCGCCTCCCGCCTCCTGTCGGCCCAACATGGGGGTCCGTCACACAGAGCTGTCATCGGACCATCGCCGCCGACCGGGGCCGCCGCTGTCGGCAGGAGCACCGCCTCCCGCCTCCTGTCGGCCCAACATGGGGGTCCGTCACACAGAGCTGTCATCGGACCATCGCCGCCGACCGGGCCGCCGCTGTCGGCACGAGCGCCGCCTCCCGCCTCCTGTCGGCCCAACATGGGGGTCCGTCACACAGAGCTGTCATCGGACCATCGCCGCCGACCGGGGCCGCCGCTGTCGGCAGGAGCACCGCCTCCCGTTTCCTGTCGGCCCAACATGGGGGCCCATCACACAGAGCTGTCAGATATGTCTGACCAGTCAGAGCTCTAGCTCTGCTCACTGAGGATGTCTGTTGGGTTACATTTCTTGAAGCAAAATCACCTGCGCTGGTCGTCAAATTGATGTCTGTAAAAAAACATGAACACCAGCACACTCTGTGGCTGTTCCTTGACTCAGTCTGTGGGTGGCCAATGCATGTCAGACATGTCACATCCTAAAACTATCTATACATGATTTATATATGAGAGCATATACATATCCACTAAAAAAAATAACTTACAAACTACTCAACTTGATTATTATTCATATTATTATTATACAACTAATCAGTTAATTTGCCTCTTGTGGTGAACTGCATAGTGATAATGCTTATATGATTTAAGAGACAGCATCCACTTCTTGAGAGATGGTGCTCCAGCATAGAAAGATTATCCTGCTCCAATACCATGCTTTGAGGAAGGCATGCACACTGAAAGGTGGAGAAGGGCTACAGATTTACAGGTGAAGATAAATCATAGTCCTATCATAGTCTCATATACAACACTTCTGTCTTCGAGCACAGCGATAAGATATTGGTTAACCTAGTTGGAAATTACTGGCTAACTGTGACTGTTTTTTTGTTGGTCTAACCCAGAAACTTGTTTCATATACTGAAATATGCAGGCAACAGTAAGTGGGCATCCAGGAATTCTAGAATGCTATCTGAAATGTATATGATAATTATAACCAACCAAAGAAAAAGACTAACTCGGTGAAATGCATGCCATGAAAATATTAGATATGCTTAAATAATCAGCAAAATGCATTCACCTGATCTGGATATCAACAAAAGCTATCCATCTAAGCCAAACATTTGCATTGATTAATAAAACATAGCTGCATTTTGGTTAACCAGCCCCCTAAAATTACTTGTGGCCAATGTCAACCAAGTGCAAGTCATTGCCTCCATGACTAATTCTGCTAGATATTGTACACTAAGTCCTGTAGTAACTTGAGCTAAACTGGAGTCCCTCTAAGGCTTGGGATAGGCTGTAACACAGCCATCAATCATGATACATTTAATATGTCTGTATGATCGCCGAGACAAAAGTTAAGAATCGTCAATTAACTGACAACTCTTGCCATGCCAGAGTCCTTACATGTTCTACATGAAAAGTGAAGAAAACATCCGACAGTAGGGTGGCAAAATTCAAATTCAAAACTGATCCTTTCCATGGATCACCACAGAGTTTAGCTCAATCACTTTCTGAAAGTGAGGGTTCCATGGCACTCAAGGACCCTATGCTCCTATGCTATTCTATGCAACGATCTTATTTTGAAATGATCTACCAGTTAAGAAAGAAATGCATGACATAAGCTAATAAAGCGGTAATGATATGACTATATGAGCACAGGCCACGCAGGGCTCAGACAATAAAGTAAAGAACAAGGACAGACATCCAAACCAATGTAACACCGTCATTTCATGACCATTGAAGTGAACCCGGCCGCAAAAACCCTAGACCAACTCAAATTATTACGCTTGAATTAAAGGGCTACGTGCGTTTGCGTGCACCCAGCGATTAAGTGTTCATGAAGTTTTAACACTAGGGTGCACCAGGAACAGAGGAATTCTATCGTGTTGCGACAAAAGAAACCTGAGGTGTCCCATGATTTGTAATGCTACGTTTCAGAGCCCACAGCAACAAACAGCCACGGACATACCTGTTGACTCCCCACGGACACACAGACACACCCCTTCTCGTCCCTCTGTCCGCAACACGCGCTCCACGCACAACCACGGGCGTCGCGCGTTTCTCCCATAGCCAAACGATCAAGGAACGCAAATAACCAACCCCAGCTCTGTTCATTAAACAGCTGACGATGAGGGTGATGTACTAAAATGTCGTCACACTCAAAAGAAACGTTGGCAAGCTAAAATGCGTACCTTACTCCTGCCCGTTTCAAAACAAAAACTATGTTCTTCGACACAAAATAGCCGACTTGTTGGAAAAACTCCAGATGCGTCCTTGTGCACGTAACCCAGAGCCCCGTTGGGCCCTGGGTTACGTGCACATCGTTATCAAAATGTACGGCATGAATACTCATTTTGTCAAATTTATCATCTGATCTATACAAGTCTGTTACAGGTCAGTGAAACATGTGAAGTGCGTGAGCAGATGTTGACAACCAAAAATTCAAAAATGACTTGTAAATTTTAACAGATCGAGAACGTGAACACTCGAAAGTGCATCGCCCTATTCCGTCGCGCTGTCGTCCAACAAAAGTGCAAAAAGTGTAAATGCAAGGGGCGAGTGATGTGCAAAACAAAGGTTTTCGTGCAGGAAAAAAACTCGGAATCAAGGGATTTCAATAATTTTTTATTGATCTTAAAGTTTGCACCACATGATGGTGTAAGATGAGTCGAATGCCCCGCGCCCGCTGCTAATCCAGCCAACACGTCCAACTGGAAACAATGTCAGTGCGAGATTGGGCAGCCGTATGGGGCCCATCCAGACTGCCCACCCCGATCCCATGTGGGCATCTCACGAGCAGCCAACTAGGTCCACATGGGCAGCCCACCTGGGCTCATGTGGGGTCTAACTGGGACCCACATGGGCCAACCTGGTCTGCCCAGCTAGGACCCACTTGGGCCGTTTAGTCGAGATCCACATGGACACGTCCAGATAGAACCCATATAACCATCCCAGATGAGCCCCGTTGGGCACCACTCAATCTGTCTTTTCAAACTACATCTGATTGATGAGCCGCCCTTATTCCAGGCAGGTTCCCTCACATCATCAAAATAACCCAAATAAAGGTTTAATCGTCACGTATTTGCCGCAATAGTGTCGGCAACAAGACTGTGGTTCAAAGCGCACACTTGACCGTTCTCATGTCTGATCTGACGACCTCTGAACAATTGAACAAACACTGTTGCCGTTGCTCCCATTGTTCGCGCGGTGTTGCTTGCCGCCGTCGCGGCATCTCTCGCTGGAATCTATTTTCCTAGTGCATTCTCCGCTTCGCTGCGGGAGACACCGTAGCTCGCTGTGTTGCCACAGATAGGCTGCTGAAAGGCGACATGGCCACCTCGGGCCGCCAATCCACATACTGGGTGCTGACGAGCATTCATGTAAACAGGTTAGAGTACTGTGATAATTGATTTTATATTCAGTCGTGCACCGAGCCTGATTATAATGAGAGCAGCTACGTCGAAAACCAGTGCGTAAATGCCAGTTGGGCGGCTGCTGCAGTCGACCCATGTAACGTGGAATGACCGACAAAACTTGATGTCACAACAGTTAACTGTCAAGTTTGGCGAATGTGCTGAATGTGTCAAATGTTTTGCTTGAATGAGGTACCATTTATATATATATATATATATAGATATATATATATAGATATAGATATAGATATAGATAATATATATATTATATATCTATATATATCTATCTATCTATCTATCTATCTATCTATCTATCTATCTATCTATCTATCTATCTATCTATCTATCTATCTATCTATCTATCTATCTATCTATCTATCTATCTATCTATCTACTATCTATCTATCTATCTATCTATTATATCTATCTATATCTATATCTATACTATACAATATCTATATCTATATCTACTACTATATCTATATATATATCTCTATCTATATCTATATCTATATATATAGTATATATATATATATATATATATATATATATATAATATCTATCTATATCCTCTTATCGATATCTATATATCTATAATATCTATATATCTATATATATATATATATATATATATATAACTATATATATAATATATATATATCTTATATATTATGGTTCTAGTTCGTTCGTTCGTTCTTTTTTTATTCGCATCGTTCTAGTTCCCTGGCTTTGACGTGGTGTTGTCGTTTAGATTAAAGATGGTTCCGTACGAAATTACTCATATATTCGTCGCTCTGAACATTCTTACGTTTCGAGATCCTACCTCATTGTCGGAGAAAGCTGAATACAACAAGCGATAAGTTTTTGAGTTTTAAAGGATACAAATTGTGCGCTACTATTAAAAGGCATTTTTTGGTAAGGAGAACAAAGATGAAGCATGGGTAAGTGAAGTAAGACAGAACCCCATTTCACTTTGATGCAGATATCAAATACGCTCATCATGGGAACACTACAGAGACACAAACAGATTGTCACAATCATATCAATAGTGCTCCCCGCTCGCCACCTACGGGTTAAGGGTTGTACAAGAAGTTGTTTGTTTAGGGCTGGGGAGAGATCGTGAATAAACACGCTTCGCCAAATTTGAAGGCGTCT